ACACCTGTATGATGGAGGCAGAGACTGGAGTGACGCATCTACACACCAAGGAATGCCAACAGATTTTTCTAGGAGGATGAAGATGCCTGTTAGCCTAAGAATTTGGAAACACACACACACCCAATGTCTAAGGACAGCATTGAGGATCTAGAACCGTGCTGATCAATACATCAGCCACATGGAGCTACAAGAATTTAAATCACAAGCCATGTTCCAAGGGCTCCAAGGTCACATGGGCGCTTGGCTCCTGCGGGTTATATATGTAACATTTCCACCACCACAGAAGTCCTGTTGGGCAGCACCGATGTAGAGTTCACAATACGATGTGGGATCAGCTGCTCTTAGAGATCACTTTCAAAGCGTCTTAAAGAAAGTATTCTAATCATGAAAGCGCTGAGCGCCACTGTGGGTGACGACAGACTTTACAACAACTGGGCAATTCAGCAGCAAAAGAATTGGTCAGGCTGGTTGTTCGACTTCATTGGCTAGTTGGTTGTACCATAGATGAGGCCGAGCTGTGGTCAGTTCTAACTCCAGGCAAAATATTACTGACATGAAGAGTCATCACCTCTAGCCTATGAAACAGCCTCTTAATTATGAAATCTTCTGCACCAGGAGCTACAAGGGCACAGCAAGCCTCCCAGCCAGCTTCCAGCAAGGGCCCCAGAGGACAGGACTGATTCGGCAATGGCAGAGGTGGCCCCGCCGCAGTGCCCCTCAGAGAACGTGCCTGAAGCCCTCACTCACGGTGACTAAATCTTCCAGCCTCGTGTTGATACCAGCCAGCATCTCCTTGCGCTCCGCCGCAGGCTCTGGGCAGGGGTAAATGGTGGCTCGAAACCTGTGTGTAATGCATCCAATGGACACGTGGTTATCGCTCCAAAGCACTCTGCACACCCTCTTCTGCTAAGTCACTATTTGCTGGCTTTGGTGAGGCAACACCTTTTCCCAGACTAACCTTCTCCGTGGCCGTCTATAAATGAACCCCCTTTAGAAGGCTTCCCAACACACGGCTCACACTATAGGAATGAGCTTCTTTCAAACCATAAAGCCTGTGAGCTGTTATGTAAACAAAACCATAAGCTTAACTTGCCCCCCTTTTGCCCCCCAGAATCTATTAATGCATTAATGTCCTTCTTTACTGAGTAATTTCTGCTTCTAAGGGGCTGGATATGAGATGATTCTGTAACGTTAGAAACAGCTTAGCACGTGGTTTGCCTGTGAGCTGGGATAAACTGCAATGGTTAAAAGGATCCACTTTTAGTTACCTTTAAATTTTGCCCCTTTAAGTCCTCTCTGTTCCTATTTCCACAGCTATTAAGGGTCAGTTACATTCTTCACACTCTCTTATCAAATGTGGGAAAGTTATTCTAAATCCCTAAATGGACCTCAAAGAGCCCCGATGGTGCATTTCGCATTGCACACCTCTGGCCTCACCCCGCCCCACGGCGCTGGTGACAGAGCCGCTGCCCGCCTCCCTTACCCCTCGCAGATCTTCCTGATCTTCTGCCTGAGCTGCTCTCCTTGATAAAATATGATGAACATGTTCTTTTTCATTTCTTCTTTCTGGAAAATCAGAACGAGGAGAAAAAAAATGAGCTTTTCTTTCTGGTTACATTATAATAAAAATGTTAAGTTCTGTTTTTAGGTTTTAAAATATATATAAATTTAAAGTTGAAAAACCTCCATTTCTCCCAGTTGGTCCAAGTTTGTAATTCATTATGGTTGAGGGCAAGGCCACCCAGGCAGGCTGTACGGGGCCAGCAGGGAGGCCAGTGCAGTCTTAAGGGGACAGAGAGTCCCACTATCGGCTACACTAGTTGGATCACAGCTGGGCCTTGTACTCAGCTCTGAGCCCTCTACTTAAAGAGATGTATTAATAAACAAGGAAGCATCCAGAAGAGGGTCGCCAGGATATTGCAAGGCTTATCATGAAAAGAACTGACCTAGCTCCCCAGGGTTAACTCACACACAGGCACTTCAGGGGCGAGTGAGTGCTTGATATTTAACAAAGGTAAAGCCATGTCTAATGTTGGACTCAGTTACTCACTGTACATCCATAAGAACACTGATTAAAATGCATCTTTTCTTTTGCCTGTCTGCTTGTTTCTATTGCAGATCAAAGTCTGGGACTGCAACACAGGCAAGTGCATTGAAACCCTGCAGGTAAGGCCCGTGGCGTTAGCATCCCAGGGCGCAGTGGAAGGCGTACCAGGAAGCCGGGCTAAGGCAGATCTTGCATCCTCACAGCCCAACGACGTGTTTTTGGCAGGGAGCCCGGATGTGGCCCAGGTTTGCACCTTCACCCCAGATGGGCAACTTTAGGGTGTCTGGAGCTGCTGACTAGGCAAGACGCCAAATCCACTGCATGATCAAGCCACCCAGGGCCTCTCCAATATAACATCGGCACACATGGCTCTCAGAACTCAACTCCCAGCCTCTCCCTGCCCAGCACGCATGGCCCTGGCAGAAAAGATTGTCAAGGCAGCTCCACACTCCAGGCCCCAAGTCACCAAACCAGAGCACCCAACAGATCCTTGCAGCCAGGACAGCCGGGGCCCCACACCCGGTTGAAACAGCGACTGGCAGGCCTGCCCAAATCCATCAGACACCTCCCAGCCTGTCTCTCCAGCACGGTTAGCTGAAACAACTGCAAACACAAAGCAACGTCAGCCAATTTGTGCTTTACTGATGCTTCAATGCTCAGGCCTGGACCTTGGACTTGCGCAGAGGGTACGGCCGCCCCTTCAGCGGCTGCTTCTTGGTCTTCAGGTTCCCTTCATGCTGCTGAGCCTCGGCACATGGTTTGTGTTTTCTTGGGCCACAGACCCAGGGGCTTGCACTTCTTGCCCTTGTAGAATTTCCTGAGAGTCCCTTTCTGAGTCTGGTTAATGACGGTAAGAACGCGGGCGATAGATTTGCGAACAACTGGGATCTTAGGAAGCGTGGAAGCAGCGCCGCCCGTCCCTTTGGCTCTGGCCGCTAGGACAGCTCCACCTTCAGGCCGGCCAGCTGTTTGAGCAACTTGTCCTTCTTGCCATGAAGGTCTCGAGCCCTAATTTTGGCCATGACTAAACAAGCCGCAACCGCCTGCCTAAAATGCATCTTAAAAGTCCCAGTTTGACGATTCACAAGAAAGGGAGAATATATAGTTCATAAGCATATATGAAAATGTTACTTTAAGCAAAGAAACGTGCTCTTTTGCTCTTATTTCATTCGGGGTGGAGGGCAGTCAAGGCAAAATTATGGAGCCCATTGTTGGAAAAGTTGCAATAAATCCAACGAACTCGTCACATACCACTTGGGCACTGGAATTAGGTACGACCCCCTCCCTGAGAAACCATCTATCAGGTCCCAGCCAGTGTCACAAAAAATGCCCACAACCCTTAGAGCCAGCAACCCTATTTCCTTGAATTCCTATCCTGGAAGCAATTCAAAAGAAAATAAAAATCCACATGCATGACGATGTCGGGGGATTGAACCCGCACCCCAAGTACTCACTCTTGACCAGTAATTGAACCTACAACACTTCCATCTGTGGGCTGTCACTCTAACCACTTAGCAACACCAGCTAGGCCCCCAAGTCATTCTTTTTTAATATATTTTATTGATTTTTTACAGAGAGGAAGGGCGAGGGGTAGAGAGTTAGAAACATCAATGAGAGAGAAACATCAACCAGCTGCCTCCTACACACCTCCTACTGGGGATGTGCCCGCAACCAAGGTACATGCCCTTGACCGGAATCGAACCTGGGACCCTTCAGTCTGCAGGCCAACGCTCTATCCACTGAGCCAAACTGGTTAGGGCCCCCAAGTCATTCTTATGCTCATGTGCACACTGACCTAAATCAGTTTAGTTCTTTGTGATTAAGAGACAGCCTGGCTGGGTAGCTCAGTTGGTTAGAGCATCACCCCGATACCACGGTTGCAGGTTCTATCTCTGGTCAGGGCACATACAGGAAGCAACCAATGAATGCATAAATAAGTGGAACAACAAGTGGTATCTCTCTCTCTCTCTCTCTCTCTCTCTCTCTCTCTCTCTCTCTTTCCTCTCCTCTCTCTCAAACCAATTTTTTTTTTTAAATCATGACAACAACAACACCAAAAAGACACAGCTGCCTAGTGTGGAAGGAGTATAGCTAAGTTTCTAGAAACTGGTATAGCTAAGTTTCTTGAAGGAATGCGGTGTTAGGAAGAATCAGTTCTTGACCTTTCAAAGGTAGAAAAAAAGAAAAGAGAAAGCAAGGGAATAGATATTGGCTTCACAGAACTAAAGACTCGGTGTCTGCAGGGATGCAAGCCCTCTGGCGAGGGCTACAGGGAATTTAGGAGGAAGTTATCTGCAGCCTGAGATACCCACTGTGACGGGATCCTCCAGAACTGTGTCCATCTCACTGAACTTCAAGTAGATGTTTCCTCGGCAAACTCGCCACAGCAGCCTCTCAAAGGAAGCCATCCTCTCCCTGTTTATCACACCAGCCGTGAACCTGGTGTCAACAGGCAGAAGAGGACACGTTACTGCGGAACAGGGAGGGGGTGCAGAGAGAAGACTCCTGGAGACGCGTAGATGTGAAGCCAATAAAAGTGCATGTTCCTCTATTCTAGGACGTGATGGCACAGCCCTGATCTGGCACTCGGAATCCCAGCCCTAATTTACCTCCCTTGTGACCTCCTGTTTTCTTGGACATGGTAAGGTTTCCTTAACCATCCCAATAGTTTGTATTTAATTATTTGCAATTAAAAATATGATAGACCATTCATTATAGCATTGTAGATGTTCAAAATGCTCAACAATGGTCTCTGTATTATTACAAATAATGTACTAAGAGGGAAGCATACACATGGATTTGTATACATCTTTATTTTTACCATCATCCAGGCATCTAGATCATTTCTGACCCAAACTTTATACTTTAACCTTAAGATGGTTACTTCCCTTGGTCTATTATTTTTAATGTACATTGGTCTATATTACTTTCAGATCAAACATTTTCAATAAATATCTTTTCTTTCTATTTCTAATTCAATACTTACTACCTCAAATAGCAGGCCCTCAGGTATCTATTGAATAAAAAAGTAGAATTGCAAAACCCAGCACTTTGATCAGTTCATCAATTTTACTTTCCACTGTGTGAAAGCCCACCATTTTGATGGGCATAACCACATTGTAGCACCACTATTTGTGAATGACTTGATTGTATAACTATTCCATTTCTAATTACACTTCAAACTTCGAAGTCCAAATCTATTTTACTATCAAATCAATATTTCAAAGTTAAAGAAAAAAACATGTATCCTATAAGCCTTGTCCCAAAGCCAGGGAACAGTTAAGAAAACCCATCAAAATTATTATACCCGTCCTAGCCGGGTAGCTCAGTTGGTTAGAGCATCATCCTGATATGCCAAGGTTGCAGGTTCAATCCCTAGTTAGGGCACATACAGGAATCAACCAATGAGACACTGGAGCGGTGGGGGCTTGCCCTCGGGGGTGGGAGTGGCGGGGAGGGGGTCAATCGGGGGAAAAGGGAGATATATGTAAAACTTTAAACAATAAATAAATAAATAAATAAATAAATAAATAAATAAATATGTTCTCTAGGGAAAAAAAGAATCAACCAATGAATGCATAAATATGTGGTACAAAAAAATAGATATTTCTTTTTCTTTCTCTCTCTCTCTCTCTCTCTCAAAATCGATTAAAAAATAAATAAAATAAAAAGTTAAAAATTATTATCCCCACATCTTTTCTATGTGGGGACAATATAAACATTGCACTCTTTGGGCTCATTCCAGTGGCTATTTGTTTGTTCATTCATTCATCTATTCATTCATTCAAACACTCGGGGAACCCCATCACATGCTGGGCATTGAGGACCAACGGAGGACCCATTTCCACATAACTTCCAGGACAGAGTTACACTAACCCCAGCTTTCCGGCCATGTATGCAGGCATGGCTCTTAACTCCAGGAGACCAGACGTGTCTTCAGTAAAGAAATCATCAGGTAAGTTGGTTTCCGTCTGAAAGTTAAATGATCAATATTTTCATTTAAACGTATTTAAATAACCTTAAAAGCACCCCACGCCTCCAAGTTTATTCTATTTCTAAGGAAGCTTTAATTTTCCACAAAGAGTTAACAGAATTCAGAAAGTAGAGCGCTCCATGCCACATCAAAAAGCTTCCCCAATCTCCTCCTACCCAAATCCCAAATCTGCTCAAACGAACTGTTCTGCTTTGTTCTGACTGACACTTCTGTCCTGGCCATTTGGGGCACATACTTTTTAATGAGCATCATAGTATGTTGCCCTTTAATTCAACCAGCACCACAGCCATTGCACCCAGAACACTCCCTGCTCACCAGTGGCCTAGCCTTGGGACAGAAATGGTGCTTTGTTCATATTCCAAACCAGCCAGCTTTCAAAATAGAAATTTGAGGCTGGGGGGAGGGGTGGCAAGGAGGGCTTTAAATAGTCCCCAAATAATGACCTCAAAAAAGTCCTGGGTTTTCTTCAGGAGATACTTGAGTTCAGTCAGTTCTAGGAAGCTTTTCTTCAACGCTTGATGGTTCTGGTTGGCTTCCTGTAACTCTCCTTCGAGCTTTTCCAGAACGGTCTATAAGGAATGAGAAAAACGGTAGTCCAGGCAGAAAGTACTACGACATTGACTGTACATTAACCACACAGATAAGTAAATAGAAAACAAATATTCAGGGCATCATAGTGGAGCCTGAAGGGGCCTGTGCAGTCGTTAACTCTGTGTGATGGTAGAGCTGTAAGCCAGAGCCACAGTCACACACTCTTGCGTTCCGTCATCGTGGGGAGGATTAAAAAACACTCCGGGGAGTGAAAAGGCAGCTTCATGGAGAAGTCAAGGCATTTTGG